AAAAAAGGAGGTCCAAATCATATTAGAAATAAAAACAGTACAAAAGCAAGATCTTTCTCAAGTACCCAGAGCAAGATCTTTCTCAAGTACCCAGAGCAAATCAGAGACTGAGCACAGACTAAAACGTGGGCCTGGATAGATTTTCTCCAGTTTCCACGGCAGCGCAACTCCATGCTTGACAACAGAGAGGCCAGGATGCTGGCGGCACTGATGTCTGTGGGTTGACCTTATGTCGTGGGACAGACATTCAAGAGGCAAAGCAGAGACATGTGAAGCCCCACAGATCAAAGCAGCCATCACTCTCTCCGGCTACTTCCCTCAAATGGACTTTACTTTTATTGTGGGAAAAAAAAAGATCTGGAAAGGAAAAATAAGCATGATCGGACTATTTTTAAAAGGTGCTCTGAAGCCCAGTTCCTAGTGAGACCCTAGAGGGAACTTCTCTTTCTTTCTTTCTTCCTTTCTTCCTTTCTTTCTTTCTTTTTCCCATTTATGGTATACAAGCAAGCATTTAAAAGTCCTAACATCCATTTCAAAGACTCACTCCCTAGGCAATGAATTGAAATATTGGGGTGTGGGGAGGGGGCTCGGACTTCTCTGCATTATATCATGCTTAATTCTGGCCAGTGTCTGACAAGCAGACAAGGCCAAGGTTCAGACTCAGAAAGTCTGCGCTGAGAAAGCTACATGCAGGTGGAAAATCTACTGCCTCTCCTTGAGCAAGAGAAGTAACTGAGGGAGCTGGATTTAAATGGCCCTGCACTTGGCCTTGGCTTCTTACTTCACTCCCCGGAGCCGTTCTGCTTCGAAAGATGGAAAGACAGTGGGTGAGGTGCCAATGTCCATTCTGCAATGTCCACATCAAGAGGAGACAGCCATTCTCATCCGCCGGTCTGGCTGTATGGCTGACCCCGTTCCTGCCACCGGGCAATGAAATACAATGGCAGGTTGGCCCGAGGAATGAAGTCAACACTAAGAGGCCCCCGGGATTTCCTGCAGCTTCTAAAGTGTGAGTGGTTGGCGGGGATGAGGAGAAAGGGGAAGCCTTTCCAAGAACCAAGTCCAAGTTGCCTGGACTTTCCCGAAGACTTCAAATGCCGTATGGAGGACAGGAGGACGATTTACATTCATGACCCTTAGATCTGATCCCAACTGGGCTACTTAAAAGGTCTGGGACTCTGGCAGGTCCTTCCACCTCAGGTACCTCTTCTACAAAGCCGGGACACCGATGTCTCCTCACAGGGGTGCAAAGATGAGATAGAATAGCCAGATAGAGACATCCCGGAGTCTGGTCTGCCCTTCTCCCTTCTAAACTCTTGCAGTTCACCCTCTTTCCACGATTAATACATTAGACTCTGAGCCTATAAAAACACATTGGATACACCGTGTTAACCAAACACAGAAGGATAGTTCCTTGAATGCTGACAGAATATGAAAGCACAAAAACTAAACAGATCCTATTCAAAACCCAAGGCAGCAAAATATCAGCCAGGCAGAACTCTGAAAGCGAATGAGTCACTCTGAATGGCGGAACTTCCTAAATGGAAGGGGGGGAGGTGGGGGTTCCTCTTAAGAATCAATACATTAAAAGCAAACAAGCCAGAAGAAGCAAACAGTTTGGGACTTAAAAAGAAAACAAAACAAAACTCTCCAACATGCTTCAAAGACTTGTCGGTGGCCTTAAGGAGTGCCTGCTGACTACCATTCAACTTTTCCTTGAAGATTTTTATCATTGTTCTAAGCGCACGGAGCAGCAATCCAGCGATACCGCTGATGGACGGCATCTGTAGGACGTCATCCAACCTCCAATTTTACAGATGAGAAAGCTAAGCCCAGGGAGGTTAAGTGATTCACTTGAGCCACACAGCTCGCTGCAGACAGTGCCACACCGGGTCTCCTGCCCTTCCACCTGCCACGCGCTACCTTTGGGGAGCCACTGACCTTCATAAAACTACCTGTCCCTCCTTGAAATAAGCCCAGATCGCTTGAAACAACTCCAGAACCCCAAAATGTTTCTAAAGCATTGGGGCACCAACTCACAGATTTTTACGTCTCCTTTCTCCGATGTCTAGGGATCACATCTGCTCACAGAAACCCCGCTTGAGTGCGTGTGCCTTTAGCTTTAGAGGCTCATCTGATTCTTCATTTGAGGCTTATATGTCTTCACAAATCAGGTGTCCTCTCTGCAAATGGTATCTTCCGATTTGCCTGGGAAGTAGGCACTGAGCAGCCAGGTGAAGGGCTATACACGGAGCCACCTAACCGGTGCGGCTCTAAGCAAGTACTAGTGACAATGCCCCGTCCTACCGAAGTCCACCCCTGCCCATTTCAACTATGAGATCCTTAACCACAAGGCCACCATAGTTTATAAAGCAGTCATCAGCATCACCCACAGGTTAGGTAGAAATTAAAGTACCCCAAACACACGCACACACACTGCCTGGCTGGGCTGCCAGGAGTTCTACAGCACATAGTACGGCACCACACACACTTGGCACTCTACAGAATATGCGTGAACTGGGGGCACCTGGGTGGCTCAGTCGGATAAGTGTGGGACTCTTGATTTCGGCTCAAGGTTCGGGAGTTCAAGCCCCACATATGGCTCCCAGTGCAGAGCCTGCTTGTTTCTCTGCCCCTCCCCCGCTCACTTGCTCACTCTCTTTGTCTCAAAATAGAGAAATAGATTTGTGGGGCCCCTGGGTGGCTCAGTTGGTTAAGCGTCCGACTTCAGCTCAGGTCAATCTCACGGTTCGTGAGTTCCAGCCCCGCATCGGGCTCTGGGCTGACAGCTCAGAACCTGGAGCCTGCTTCGGGCTCTGGGCTGACAGCTCAGAACCTGGAGCCTGCTTCAGAGCCTGTGTCTCCCTCTCTCTCTGCCCCTCCCCTGCTCACACGCTCTCTCTTTGTCTCAAAAATAAATAAACGTTAAAATTAAAAAAAGAAAAAGAAATAAACTGTAAAAAAAGAATATGCATGAACTCAAAGATCTATCACCCCAACACCAGTGACACCAGACCAAAGAATACCATCAACAGTGACACACTGCTAGAGCTGAATCTAGTGTTTTCTCCATTATTCATGCAGGTGCTTTAAAATGTTTATGACAATAAAGACAAAAGTTTTTCTTTCCTAATTTGCCTGAGCACATTCAGTCGTTTTTTTCAGACATTAAATTGACCTAGGATTGCAGACGAAGTTCAATGAAACTTCTAGTTCCTGCCACCCAGCCCCCATAGAGGCAGCCCCCCGCAGATAAAGACGGCCAAACTGCCTTCCCAGCCCGGGGTAGGAACGGCCGTGCAGCCAGGGCTGAGGGGTCACGCAACCCCCAATGCACTGCATGCCCAAACACACCTAGGGAAATGGGGGGACTGCCGCCACCTGGCCCAAGCAGCCACTCCCAGGAAGGTGGGAGGGGGTCTGCTTCGTAAGGCTTGAAGCCTCTTCTGCTGCCCTCCTGTAATTTATTAGCAGGGGGAAAAAAGAAAGAAAGAAAGAATTAAAACTTTTTTTTTTTAACGTTTATTCATTTTTGAGAGACAGAGCATGAGTGGGGTAAACGGCAGAGAGGGAGGGAGGCACAGTCCGAAGCAGGCTCCGGGCTCCAGGCTCCAAGCTGCAGCACAGACCCTGATGCCGGACTGGAACCCGCGTACTGGGAGATCACGACTCGAGCTGAATCAGACCCTTAACCAACCGAGCCGGTCTCCAGGCGCCCCCAAACTCCCAATTCAAAACCTCAGCTCTCCCAACTTCGCTCCGATGTTGCTCTTTGCCCCCAAAGCGGTTTTAGGCCCTCTAAAACCCGACCCAGAGCTTTTGATCTTTCGTGCTCCTGGCGCCTTCACGTAATCTTTCAGGGTCCAGGCACCGTCTCCGCCCTTCCCGGACCCCCCCCCCCGAAGACCACCAAGCACTCGGCCCGCCTGCTGCCTCAGCAGGCCGCCTCCCGCGGGGCCGTTGCGCTTCCGCCGCGAAGCCGCTAACATCGCCCCCTCGTGGCGAGCAGAACCCCTCGGGGGGCGACGACGCGCCGCGCGCTGGCCGCTCGGATTCCCCAGGAGGGGCGTGCGGAGCGTCTCCAACCTCAGCATCTGTCCCAGCTTGCAGTTCCCTCCCAACCCAAGCATCACCCCCACCCCCACCCCGTCCACACTTCCCCGCAGAGGACACACACGGCAGGTTATCCGACTGGGACGCAGCTCCGAGGCGCGGGATGAACCCGGTCTGTCTCCCCCCACCCCCTGAGGCATACAACAGGTGCGGCAGGCTCGGGCGAGCCCTTCCCCGCTGGCGTCCCCGATCCCGCCAGGGCAGGTTCTCCCCCTGCCCCCGCCACCCCCTGCACCCCGAGCGAGCCCCGACGCCCGTTGGCCTCGCTGACGATGGTGGAGGGGTCTACGATACCGCCACGCCGCCCCTGGCAGGGCACGAGCGGCGCCGAGCGGTTGAGGACGGCATGAGCGGGTCGGCGCAGCGACGGCCCTGCCGCCGCGCTGCCGTTGGCGCGCCTCAGGAGGTAGCTGCTGGCAGCTGGGCCCCCGTCGCCGCGCGTCTGGGGCGCCTGCGGTTCCACTCCTCCTCGGGCTCCAGCCGCAGCAGCTTTCTATGAGGAAAAGCCTCGCCGCGCGCACTCACCAGTAAGGCGGGCCGGCGCCCAGAAGACCACGCCGACGAAGAGGCTAAGGGAAGGTGACGCCCGTCAGGCACACAGGAAAGGCCGCTGGAAACGTTGCCAGCCCGAACTACGTCGGCTGCTTGTGCGCGCTCGTTAGTCGAACGTGAGGGGCATGGTGCAGCGACCCGCGGGCGCGTCCTCAACGCCGCCCCGCCCGGCCCCCTCCGAGTGACTAACGCGCGTTCCGCCGTCGTCGCCGCCTCACCCCGCCCGCTCCCGCCTCATCGCCCCCTGGGCGCTGCGCTGCCTGCCTCCCTCCGCCGCCTCGCCTGCCCGTGGCTGCCCTGGACGGCCGGGCCTCGTTTCCTCGGACTGGGAGTGCGGCGCTGGCCTTGCCTCCGGCTCGAGGAGGGCTCCGTTTCCGGTCCCTGCCGGGCTGCTCTGTCGGTCGGCCCCGGGGTCGCGCTCCAGAAGGAAGTTGCAGGTCACCCTCGGTCTCGGCGGGCCCTCGAGGCTCCCCGAGGGCGGCGCGTCGGAGGTGGGGTGGGGCGGCGGGCGGGGACGACGCCGGGGCCTCCGGTCCCGCGCCTTCAGGTTAGAGACGCCCAGCCTAGCCTCCAAGCCCTCTTGGGCTCAGGGCCAGCCCAGCCAGACCCTGCTGCCGAGCGGCTCCAGCGTTGAGTTGCGACATACTCGGAGATAATCCAACTTTTTCAAAGGGCAAGCTAGGGCGCTGCTCGGGAGTCCAAAAGCGCTGTTCATTCAGCCCGTGTTCCCATAAGTTCAAGGGGGGAAGACCTCGGGCTGCATTTGGGGGCTCCTTGGGCCTGGGCTCATGCAGTGGGACACATTTTGGTCTGAAAGTGTTTGAGGAAAGAAAGAGTTGAGATATGAGTTTTTTGATTGTTGAGGTGAGTTCAGGATTAATTAGATTTGGCTCCAGGTTCGGGTTTTGTTGCTGTTGGGGCACTTGTGTTTTGTTTTGGTAGGATTAGAAGCTTGGGAGGGAAGACTGACACGACAGACACTGGAGCCTCTCTCTCTCTCTCTCCTCTCCCCCCCCCCCCCCCCCCCCCCCCCCCCCCCCCCCCCCCCCCCCCCCCCCCCCCCCCCCCCTCTCCTCCTCTCCTTCTCTCTCCTTCCATACATGTTTATACAGGTGTTAATACACTTTTGTTAATTATCTGGGCTACAAGCCAGAATTTCTCTAGCTCTTCTCCCCAGACCCCACCCCATCCTCAGAAAAGCTTTGTATCCTCGTGTTGCTTTTCTGGAAGCTCCCAGAAGCGGGTAGAGCACAGACACGTTTTGTCCTTCCGGATCAAGGACTCGGGAAGCCAGGTTGCCTCTATGCAGCCCGCTTCATCCCCTCACCAGCTCTTGACCTTCGGCAACTCATTGACCGGCCCAGTATTCTCATCTGTCAAGTGAGGCTAACGCCCTCCTGGGGTCTATAAAGTGCCAGAAAAGCACCTGATGCACAGAGCATACCCTTTCATGTGTTGGCTGCTATTACTGTTATTTGTGTCGAGTTAATGCTATGGAGGGTGCAGGGATGTCCTTAGGGTGACAGATACTGTGTAGGATAGAGCACCTGGTAGTGTGCAGGCCACACAGCAGGGGCTCGCTGATGGGCGGTTTTTATTGTCCTCACCTTCCTTGCCCTCGGCTACTAAATAAAGCAGATCTACCACCGAGTTAGCAATGATTTCTATGTCCACGTGTCTCCTGCTCCAGGCTGTAGCCCATATTAAAAAAACAAAAACAAACAAACAAAAAGCCCTTTTTTAACATTTATTTATTTTTGAGAGAGAGAGAGACAGAGTGTGAGCAGGGGAGGGGAAGAGAGAGAGGGAGACACAGAATCCAAAGCAGGCTCCAGGCTCTGAGCTGTCAGCACAGCGCCCGACACGGGGCTGGAACTCAGGAACCGGGAGATGGTGACCTGAGCCGAAGTCGGACGCTTAACTGACCGAGCCACCCCGGCATCCCCCTAGCCCATATTTTTAACCGGCTCCCTGGACTCCAGACTCAAGCTGTCACCCCCCACCCCCACCCCAGCTCTTCCTCCTGACCTCCCTTTTGGTGTAACCAAGGCCCAACCCCAGAATGAATCTCTGGATCATCTCAACACCTCTCCCTTTTGCAGGCCTTTCTTCAAAAGTCACCTCCGCTCACTCCGCCCCCACCGGTCGGGCTTCCCCTCACCACCCAACACACACGCAGACACACGCACGGGCCATCCATCCTGGCGGCTCCCTTCCCTGCTTTATCCACCTGCGATGCGTATCCGTATTCCTTTGTTTACCATGTGTCTCATCTGTTCATTTATCTTACTTGTGATCCTCTGCTAGACTGCAAGTTCCATGAAAGCAGAAATTTCTGTTTTGTTCACTCTAGGTTGCCACCACCCACAACTGTGCCTGCTTCATAGTAAGGTGGCTGGTAACTGGGTGCTTCTTGACACAGCCCCCTATACACACACAGGTATTGTCTCCTTTCCTCTCCGCCGCCATCTTTGTTCTGCCCGCAGTGCCCCCGGGGTTCCTCACCTGCAGCCCTGGCCCTGTCCTGCGGTCCAGCCCACGCTGCCCGCCAACTGCCCACAGTGGAGCTCCAGGCCCGCCTTGCCTTCCAAATTAAATCCTCATGTCTCACCCTCCCTTTCAAGATCCTAACCCATGTTCCTCACCAAGTTGTCCCCTTATGTGGCAGCCAAACACAGCTACTTGCTAATACTCCAATCCTTCTTGAACTTTCCTACACCCATCCCGGTATACGCGAAGTTCCTTCTTCCTGGTGGTTCACTCTCCTGCCCCTCCCTGCCCACTGCCCAGGAAGGCCTGGCCTAAAAGGTGGCACCAGGTTCGTGAAGCCTTTCCCACCATAGCAACTGCCTTCCCTCCCAAGTAATGCCCTCTTGGTTTGTGCTCCTAACACATCCAAGAAACTTCTCATGGAATTTCACTACCTTTTTCTTTGTATATACTTGGTATTTTAATTTTAATGTTTGTAATGAAGCATACAGTTAAGTAGACCTAGTATATTGCTAAGATCACAGAACCCCTACTGGGTTCAAATCCCCTTCTATTTTTTGCAATGAGTGACCTTGGGCAAGTTATTTAGTTGTCTTCCATAAAACTGAGTAATAATGAACCTTCTCGTTTTTAATGCAAATCATTTAGAATAATAATTGAAACATGATAAGTGCTGTATGTGAGTCAGCTATTTAAAAAAGCAATGAGTGGGGTGCCTGGGTGTCACAGTCAATTAAGCATCTGACTCTTGATTTTGGCTCAGGTCATGATCTCACAGTTCATGGGATCAAGCCCCACATCAGGCTCTGTGCTGACAGTGCAGAGCCAGCTTGGGCTTCTCTCTCTCCCTGTCTCTCTGCCTCTAACCCCGCTCACATACTCTCTCTCTCTCTCAAAATAAATAAATAAACTCAAAAAAAAAGTTTTTTTAAAAAAAGAGCAATGAAAAAAAATACCACCCACCCCAAGAATTAGCAAATGTCATGTTGTTATGTTTGTTTTAGGTATATCGTTATAAAGAACTAACATTCATACACAGAGTTGAAGTCTCCTTCATAAGCGTTCAGATCCTGTTCCCTGTCACCTCCCTCCCTCCCCAAGGCAGCCACCAGGCCATTTCTTCAGAAGGTGGGCCAGGGGAGAAGGCCAACCCAGACCCAAGAAGCAGGCTCAGGACCCTTGAGCAGAGAATCTTGGGTTCCTGGCTCCCAGAGCAGGGGGGAACTGGAGAGACAAAGTGGTGATAGGCCTCCGGTGGGTACTACCCCTTGGCCCTGGGGCTGGAGCAGACAGAGGAAGGCCAGACTCCCCCGAAGGCACAGACCTGTCGTGCCCAGGTGTAGCTATTGTGAAATTGTTAATTTTCATCTCGTCCAGTTTTCATCCTTTTAATACACAAGTATCATGTACAAACAATATCTAGTACGTGGGGTGCTTTGATATTTACATAAGTGGTACCACACTCCACATATTTTTCTGTCACTTCTCTTTTTCAGTGCACATTATATTTTTGAGACCCATTAGCCTTGATAAACATGGATCTAGCTCATTTACTCCAGCTGCTACGGATCATTCTTTTGAATGACCATACTATGATTTATCCATTCCCCTACTGAGAGACATTTAGCTCATTCTTAATTTTCCACAATTACAAGTAACGTTGCAGTGAATGTGCTATGCACGCTCCCTTGTGCACTTTGTACAAGAATTGATGGAAAGTAAGTACCTAGAAATAGATTAGCAGGGCTGCAGGGTGTACGGATTTGGAGTTTGCCAGACATTGCCAGGTAGCTCTTAGGGGGGTGGTCCCACCTTGCATCCTGCAAATGATGTATGAAGTTATCCATGTCCATGCTATGGCTCAGCTTTGTTAAACTCAAGCCCGCTAGCAGATACTCTGGGTATAAAATGCAGTCTTACTGTTCTGATTTGTATGTGGTCAAACAGAACACATTCTTCATGCTTATTCAGTACTCGGGTTTTATCTTCCAGGAGAGGCCTCTTTTCATATCCTCTACCTGCATTCTCTTTGTTACTTGTGTTTTCTTATTGAATTTTTAGGAAGTTATTTGTATATTTGTGTATTCTACTCCTTTATCAGTGGTATGGGTTCTATCCTCTCAGTCTGTTAACTTTGTTTATAGTGTCTTGCTGACTATAAAAAGTTTAAGTTCAGCTGTAGTAAAATTTATCAATTTTCTTGAGAGCTTCTGCTTTTTGTCTTTTGCAAAAAAAGAAAAAAGAAAAGAAAAGAAATCCTTCATGAATGTGTTTCTGGGTTCTTCATTCTGTTTTACTGCACTAGCTCCATACCAATATTTCCTTGTTAATTACAATAGCTCTATACAAAGTCTTAATATCTGGGAGATATTAAATCCCACCTCCACTCCCTAACCTTATTCCTCTTCAGAATTATCTTGGTGATTTGGGGGCTTTTTTCTTCCATATAAAATTTATATTTATTAAGGCCCATAAAAATTCAGTTGGGACTGTGATGTAAAATCCTGTACACATTTTATTTCTCCCATTACTTTGTAGGTCTTCGAGAGAAAAGCCATATCAATTCATGTTTCTATCCCAACACATTGATGTCTATTTTATATCTGCACATGTGGCTGTTTAAATTTAATTTAATTAAAATTTAGTAAAATAAAGAATCCTGTTCCTCATGAGCCACGTTTCAAGTTGCACACTAGTCAATGTGGCTGATGGCTAAGATATTGACTAAGGAGATACAGAACATTTCCA